AGTTTCTACAGCACTGGCATGAACCTAAAAAAGTAAACTATGCAGAAATTCAGAAAAATAAAGGTAAATGTTAATTCCAGATATGACTTGGCCAAATTTGCAATATGATCTTCTCTACCAAGACTGTAGTTTAGACTTAATCTACAAATAGGACCAATATAGTACCCTCAAAGTATCTAAGAAAACAACTTCTTCCAAGTAGGGTTATTTGCCTCTTCAACCTCTATAGCACAAATATGGTGCTTAATACGGTTATGATGGGGAGAAAGAACGAGATTCCAATAAACTATTAAAAAAAGGGGCACCAGGGAAACTGTCAATCACCACTGTGCAAGAACTATGGCAAGGAATAGAAACCACATAAATCCTAAAACAGTGTTATATTCTACTAACAGTAGACCCAAAATACTTTGATCAAGCAGATAAAAAAAATGTAGATGTTTGACAACTAAGTTACAAAATTATAAGTCTGTCAATTAAAAAAAATATTTTGACTGCCAAGCAAATAATTCTAGGTCATGTATTCAGACCCATCAAACTTGACAATTTTCTCCATTTCTGAAGTCATGCTGCAAAGACAAGGATCTAAGGGCTGGTATACAGTACAGCCACTGCCTTGAGATTAAAATGATATTGTGGAAGATAAAACTGAGGTATCTGCTGCTAGTTCCAGGATGGCAGAGAACTATTAATTAAACCAAAGTAAGTCGTCTCTCATGGTAAGTCTGAGTAGACTAAGGAATCAATAAACCAAGGACATGTCACTGAATTCTTGATTTCAGACTTTTAAGAAATCACTAATGGATATCATCTTTTAAACAGATACCCAGAAACAGAACTGTGTGAGATGTTCTCTCTACTACATCCACAGCTATACTCTAAATCTCACAGATTTCTCAGTAACACCGATTGATGGCATCTCTCTTTATTACAGTAAGAGGACTGGATTGTCAGGCATGTTTGGAATTCTTGCTCTTTTAAGAGTCAGATTTGCATGCCTGGATGGTGTAACATCCTTTATTTCCAGAGCACTAATGTACACATCTTTTTTATATTTAAACTGTGATGAATTATCAAGCTCAAAAAGTTAACTGTTTAGAAAGTGGGTTTTTTTAAGAAGGTCATCTTGGTGAAAGGTCCAGATTATCCTGAGAGAACACCGTTACTGGGTCTCACAGCTTGTTGACATAAGAGTTTGATAGGTCAAAGGCTTATGAGTGACAACATCAAAGAATCCTCTCATATGTAACTTGGAATGGTGATGGTATGGTAGCAATCAGTCTTGATGAAGATAGTTATTGTGAATTTCTACAGAGACAGTACAGATAAAAAAAAAAAGTCTTTTTCCAGCTGATGCCCACAGTAGACCTGTGACAACTACTCATCCCACTGGAAGCAAACTGGATTTGGCAAAATTTGATTTGAATTCCAGTTCTTGATATACAGCTTCATGGTTGATTTTGAAGTCTCACAGAGCTTGAGTAATAGGGACTCAGTGAGTTGATCATCCTGATATAAAGAGATTATAACAGATTTGTCATTTTGTGAAAACCTGACAAGTAAAGCCTGGAACAAGGAAGCACTGATGACCTAAAAATGAAGGATTGCCTCTGTGTTAAACAGAGATCTATTAAGTAGTAGGTTATTTCCAGACCCCAAATCTGCTAGTCCTCAGTTTACCAGCAAGATTTTCCTGAGGAACAACTCTTTATATTTTTCTTTAATCACAAGAGGATTCAGATTCCTGAGTACCTTCCTCTGTACTTACTTTGAACCAGAAATAATGGATAAATCTTTGTCCACCCCTACTTAGATTAAAAGTCTCCAATGCTCACTTGGACAATAAAGCACAGTTCTCTATATACTTCAATCCAACAGTCTAGAATTCAAATGTCAGCTTGTGGCAATTCCAGACATGTATCCAGTTTTTGAGGTGACCTCCTACCTGTATATCCTGTTTAAGTCAGGAAGAGCAAGTAAAATACTTAATATATTGGATGGCTATACTGCTGAACATAAACAAGCTATTAATTCTTATATCCATGGCGTTCTGGAGATTCTCCTTTTTTTCTGTATCTATAAGGGTGGTTTCGGGGTTTGTACCAATCCCCTTTGGAGTATCCTCTATTGTGATAATGTGCTTTCTGATCATGACTATAGAAGTATCGATGTTGGTTATAGTATTTGTTGTGGTCTTTATAGTCATTTTCTTTTATACTGTTTTCTTCTGCAACGACAGCATTCACATCTTGTCCAAAGAGGGAAGTGCCATCAAAGGGTAAATGTGAGATTTTCTCCTGGGTTTTCTTAGTGAGTGATGTAAGTCGAAGCCAGGCTTGCCTTCTGTAGTCTACTGCCATTGCCATAACTCTGACTACTGAGTCCATTATGTCCCTAGTAGTACAAAGCTGCCAAAGGCCTGCATCCATACCATCAGATATTATACATCTTGCTTTTCCACGATCAAACTCTGGGTCATGGACCAGATCCTCCATATCTTCCCAGAGTTTACGCTGATATTGAGTCATATAGGCCATGTAGCTAGCAGCTCGGGCTGCAATGGAAGCAGCATGGTAGAATCTACAACCCATGACCTCCATTTCTTTTGAGGTAGAATCCAGAGGAGATGATGTACTTCCTCTTTTGCTATGCTCTAATGCTTCTACAATGGGGCCCTCAGCTGGAGGATTTGGTTGAAAAGGAGAGGTATCCTTGGCCACAGGATATACCCTGTGTCCCATGAAAGAAGAAGGATGGCAATCAGCAGGGTCTTTAAAAACCTCAGTGGTGGCAATTCTCAGAAGTGGATGCAATGGAGGAACCAAACGTTTTTTAGAGGTCACATAATCAGGTTTCCCATCACACGATTCTGCTTCAGATTGTAACGTTACTCTCTTTATAACACCTCTCTGTTCCATTCTCTTCAAAAGACCTGTGAAACTAGTCTGACTGGGGTCAGCTGGCTGCCCTTTGTCATCAGCTGAGGGGGATTTGCAATCTGCTTCTTCTTCAACTGTGGATAAATTTTCTTCCTTGGAGCTGATGTCCCAAGGAACTGAGGAGTTTTCACTTGGCCTAGAATGATGAAATCTGAAACAACTCCTGGACTGCAGATCACGTATCACTCGGGACATCTCAGCCACTTGTGTCTGGAGATAGAGGATGGCATCTTGTCCATGCTGTGAAGCTGAAGATTCTGGAGGTAAATCCTCCTTGACCTCTGAAGAGGCCAAAGTTTGTTGAGGGACCAGAAGTGGAGATGAAGGCAGAGTCTGATAATTTTGTGATGGTTTAAGTGTCTCTGTCTCAGAGATCTGAAAATCTGAATTATTTTGATCATTTTTCTCGTGTTCCAATGGGTTCTCAACAGAAGAAGGTTGAGAAACTATCCTTTGTGGACTGCTGGTGCAACTCCCAGAGGAGCTGCTGTCTCCAATGGGAAGAGGAACACTGCAGCTAGAGCACATTTCTGGGCGATGATTCTCAGAGGATGGCACCTTAGACTCAGGCATTCTCTGGGTTATCCACATGAACAAGAAAACCAAGGAAGAAAAAAAAATGCTTTTAATATGTTAACTTTCAAGTGCAGAGATGCATGTCCAGTAAGTAGAATTCAATTTTTTAAAATTATTATCATTAATAATGAAAGATGCAATCCACTACAGGTCAGCAAGGGGAATCACAAAAAATCAAATCCACAAGCTTCACTTTCCCAAAGACCCAATACCAACTACTGGCATTAATCTGGCACTCTGTCTCTGAAAAAAGAGAGTATAAACAAGCCCAGTTCAAGTGGTGCCATCCTAGCCTGCTGCTTGGTCCCATGCTAGGACAAGAAGAGGTGGTAAGACCACTGGTGATAACAATTTTTTAAAAATCCCATTCAACATATTTAAGTCAAGAAGTAGGAGCTAATAATTGCAGAGAGAACTTGGTGAAAGTTTCACTGAGGGAAAAAAGATTTTTCTAAAAGTCCTCCATTGTAGAATCACTTTAAAGCCCCTTTAAAAATTCTCTTGTTCACTCTCCATGTATAACATAACTTTCAGTTGCATAGTCCTACTTTGTGGTTTGTAGTTTTCAGAGTTTATATATATTTTTGCTACCTTGTGTCATCCTCACAACAACCCTGTGAGGTAGGTACTATTCTTATTTGATAAAGAAACTAAGGTTAAAAGGCTACTTAATTTATCCAAAGTCACAGAATTAATATGGACTTTATGTAAAGCTGAGACTAAAACCTAGGTTTTTTGATTCCAAGTCCAAGTCTCAATCCCCTATTATCACAGAGCAGAAGCTTCTGGCCACCTTGAACAAGAACCAGGAGTTCTGTAATCCATCAAGGAAATAGCCCATTAATGGCAATTTGGGCTATGACAAATGAAAGAGAAGATTGCTACAAAGGGCTCAGCTAGTTTGGTTTTCAAAGTAAGGAAAGTATTTGTTTAAGGGCCAAATCCACAATAAAAAAAAAATACAGGTAAGAAAGAAAACTCCAAATATATGGGGGTAGAGGAGATTAAAAGATATATGACTACAGTAGTATCACCTATAACCCTTCCCCACATGCCATTTTCTAAAGGATCTTCACATAGCCTTTCTTCCAAGATAATAATTTTCTGTGGTCATATGGTTATGGATGAAAAGGATCCAGTTCTATAGGGCACCTGAAGAGAGATAGGAAAGGAGAAGGACACAAGGAGCCAAAAAGCTTGCAGTTTTTATTTCAATTCCCTTGTATTAATATCACCTCCAAGGCTTAGAACTTTCCTGTGTCATGTCATCCTTTCACATCCTCACTGAAAGCAAAGGAACAAAATTGAAAGTAGGAGATATTCTGGGCAAGAACTCCTTGGACTACCTATTATGGTCCATTCTAATAGAAATTGGCCATTCTCTAAACACTAAACATAGCCACCATTGACTTGGTAACTCTCTTCAGACAATGCCTCTTAAATGACAGAAGTAAAAAAAGTGCAAATCAAATATAATGTACTTACATCACTATGAGAGGTGCTAGGCTCTTCATCATCACTGCTGACCAGGTCAATGTATTCAAGAACAGGTCTTAATGGTCCTTCCTATGAAAGAATTGAGCAAATTAACAAGTCATGAACAGTTATTCGAACTAAACTAGCATTTAAAACAATCATGTTATTGGGATTTGCAAGAATTCCTCTGAAGAGGAAGACTTATGGCTAGCAGAAAATAATCAGAGAAAAATATTTAGAGTATGTACATGAGTAAGAAATGATGACGAACTCTTTCTCTTCAATGAGGTGGCAGAGCAGCCTCCCCAGCAGATGCAGATCTTTGTGATGACCCTGACTGGCAAGACTATCTCCCTTGAGGTTGAGCTCAGTGACACACCAGTGAGCATGTCAAAGCCAAAATCCAAAACATGGAGGGCATCCCGCCTAACCAGCAGCGTCTGATTTTTGCGAGCAAATAGCTGAAGGATGGCTGCACTCTATCAGAATATAATATCAGAAAGAGTCCACCCAAGCACTTGGTGCTTCACAGGAGGGGTTACATCATCGAGCCCTCCTTCCAGGAACTCGCCCAGAAGTACAACTACTACAAGATGATCTGCCCCAAGTGTTATGTCCACCTGTACCCCCATGCTGTCAACTGATGCTGCAAGCAGTGTGGCCACACCAACAACCTCTGCCCCAAGAATAAGGTTAAATAAGACTCCTTCCCCACCTCCTCGGGCCCACAGGGCAGCCTTCTGCCTGAGCCCTGTGACTCTGGGGCCCCAATAAAGTTTCTCCTTTTGTTGACTGGAAAAATAAAATAAAAAAAGTGATGAGACCTAGAAGAGCAAGCCTAAACCCCGGTAAGAATATTAGAACTATGTCGATTCCTTGGGGGAAGGATTATTAATACGGAAACAAGCCATAAGAACACAGATATTATGATCCAATGCTTTTCAAATGGGATGGGTATCAAAGGTTCATTAGATATCCAAGCTCAAAATCATTAAGTTCTTTGACCAACATCTCGGCTTTATTTCCCACTTCTATAGAGTCAAACATTAAACCTGATTTTTCTCTATCCTTTCTTTCCACCCATACTGATTCTGTCATGAACCAGGCCTTGAATGCTAGGCTTAAAAGCCTTGACTGTATTCCACAGGCAAAAGGGAATCAAATACTAAGGTGGGAGTAACATTATGAGACTTGTGCTTTGACCAATCACATAAAGAAGTATGAAGAGTGGGGTAAGCAGAATAAGTAACCAGACCAGATACATAACGTAGAATTAAAATAGTGGTGGAGACAAGAATAGTGTTGTGGTGCTTAGTATAAGAGAATACATGGGTACAATGGGGGAAAAAAAGATTGGCGATACAAAACAAAATCCCAACAATAACCGGAAATCAAAGTGGTCCCTAAGGTTTCAAGTTTGAGTTACTGGAAGAATACTAATGTCATTAATATAAATATGGAATATGGACACACAACGCTGATATTTTTTTCACATAATGGTTTGATATGTCAGTGGTATATACAGAGGTATTTGGCAGAGTTGGAAATGCAGTCTTGTAATCTTGGATGTATAAATGTAACTGAGAGTAGAGATTTGGGAGTGGCTCCCTTAAAAAACTATTAACTGTAGCTTTAAGTTGAAATTATGATGTAGCTAAGGAACAAAGCAAAGAGGAGGGTATTGAGGAAATGCCAGAATTTTAGGATTCAGGAAGAAAGCTCATCAGAGATTGAAAAAAAAAATCAGGAATGCATAAATTCAAAGAAATTAAAGACAGAATAAACCTCAATGAAAAGTTATCAATGCTAAATGTGGCCCAAAATACCAAAAATAAAAAGCCAATGAATTTGGCAACAAGGAGATTTAAAATGCCTTTGACAGAGCAACTGTTAAGAAAGTAGTGCAACACAGAAGCCATTCTCTAAAAAATTAAGTAGGAAATAAGGCAGTAAAGGACATAGTAGACAGTATTCTTTTTTAAAAGTCTAGAATGTTGAGAACAAGAGAAAGGAACTCAGGAGGAGAATATGGCCAAAGGAAAGATTTCTTAGGATAAAGGAAGTTGACTATTGGCAAGCCAAAGTGATTAATTTGGTGGAAAAACTAACAGGAAAAGACCCTAGAGTCTGGAGACAAGCTAAGATCTAGTTAAAGATCCTTTTCCTGAAAGAAGCATCCAGTCTCAAAGACAGCTTGTTTCTCCCCCTAGGCTACAACTTTTGCGCAAGCAGAAAACTGCTATCCTTGCAGGTAGAGATCCAGCCACTAAGATAAAACCAGAGAGCAAAACAACTTGGCAGGAATCATGTAATAAAGTAATTAGGGTTTTTACCTATGTATGGTCAACAGAGATGCATCACCTACTTTAAGACTAAAACCTACCACTGGTATTAATTTCAGTATCACACATTTAATCTAAGAAGAAGTAGAGGAGATAAAAATAGTTTCCAGCCCTGGCCGGTTTGGCTCAGCGGTTAGAGCATCGGCCTGCGGTCCGGAGAGACCCGGGTTCGGTTCCCGCTAAGGGCACGTACCTCGGTTGCAGTTTGTCCCCGGCCCTGGCTGGTCGTGCGGGTGGCAACCACTCGATGTGTCCCTTTCACATTGATGTTTCCCTCTCTCTCTCTTCCTCTCTCTCCCTCCCACTCTGTCTGTACAAAAAATGGAAAAATGTCCTCGGATGAGGATAAAAAAAAAACAACAAAAAAAAAACAAAACAAACAAACAAAAAAAAATAGTTTCCACTGTTCATGTAATTATCTGAGTTTGCACTCTTCAAGGAATGTGCATTAGAAAATTTTATTACATGCCCGCAGAAATAGCACACCAAGAAAGTCCCCAGGTTACCAGAAGTACAGAAGTAGGGGCGGAACTTCCATGAACATGTAGTAGGTAAAGAAGTAAGGGAGATGAAAGAAAGCACAAAGCAAAAAGAATGGTCAGGGAAAAACAAAATAAGAAAAATTGTCACGAATAGGATTAAGAAGTAAATCCAGAAATAGTAGAAGGGGCAGGAATAAAAACAGATGAGGAAATAAATTTACTATTGCGGTGAACCATTATATTGATATGCACAACTTAAACGAAGGCAACTTCATATAATTCACACTAATAAATAAAAAGAATCAGGATAAGAAATTGAAAAGTGAGAAAAACCAGGAGTCATTTAGAATATTTATTTATTCACTCAACAAATAATTACAAAGTGGTATGTGATAGAATAATAGAAGGAGAAGGTGACAAATGTCTAAGACCTCCAAAAAGGCAAAGAGGTTGAGAAAAAAAAATAAGAGAAGTATCCCAAAGGAAAAGATTACTTCACAAACAAATACTCTATACTTCAGCTAATTTCCCAGTGGATATGGAAAAACTTCCACCACAAAGAAGGAATCAAAACATTTTAGTAGTCCTTTTATTTTCCTACTAATCAATAACATCTGTCATTCTACCCTGTACAGAAATTGTGCTAAACTTTTCATGCATGTGATTTCATTTAATCCCCACAATTACTTGACAAAGTGAGATACTGAATTACTACTATTACCCCATTTAACAAATGAGAAACTAAGTACACCTGGTTCTTTAAACACATAATTGGCTGTGTGGTCAATGTAACTCTGAGGTAGTTCAAGACTCTGAGGTAGTAAAAATAGTATATATATACTATTTTTAAATCCATGCTTATTACCAAAGTTTCTGAGATAAGATACCTTTCAATAAGAGGAAAAGGACTACCTGCTATTATCCAACTTTGAATAATTCATAATACTGACCAAAAAATGTTAACTCCCTAGAAGTAATGTTTATAATCCAAAAACCAAGAAATAATTTCTGATAATATTTATAAATGACCGCTTATATCTCCTCCATTTACAAGGTATTTTATTTGAATTTGATCAATATTTCAACCAGTAAACTATCATTCCCATCTCCTCTGCACCGATAACAAATATCAAAGGATTCTACTTCCAAGGCCACACAATTTAGGGGCAGGGGCAGGAGCACAAGCACAAGCAAAACAGCTGAACTGATATTCTAAGTTTAAAAAAACTTTAATAAAGACAGGCTTCATTCCTGTTATTAGAAAACAAATATGGATTTAACCACAGATGCAAAATTATAATCTAAAACCCTAAATAGCCTGGCCAGTTTGGCTCAGTGGTTGAGGGTCGGCCTGTGGGCCAGAGAGTTCCGGTTTGGTTCCTGCTAGGGGCACGTACCACAAAAAATAAAATAAAATAAAAATAAATAAATAAAACCCTAAATAATCCATGTGATTTTTTTTTTTTTTTTTCCATATAGAGACATTAGGGACATAATTTACTTCTGCAGTCCTGCCCAGTTCAAAAATTTCAAATGGTTCCCAGTTGCCTACTTTAAGTTCAAATTCAGTCCACAATTCAAGATCTATACTATCTGGCCCATTCTTTCCTTTCCCATTTGAAAAAAAATCTTATCCTTCAGAACTACACAATATCCTGCTTTCCCAATTTTGATACCCTTTCTTATTTCTTCTGAAAATGCCTTTTAAACACATACAAATAATACATGTCAAAGTAATAAACTGAGGGTCTTTTCTTTGTGATGGCACCACATACTTTTTATAAAAGAACTTTCTACTAGAACTATTTACATAGTTCTCATCTATTTCATCTCCCACACTGAAATACTGATACTTAGGTATGTATGTATTTCCAATTAATATTTGTAGCCCTAAGGTACTTAATTCATGACTTTGCATATTATGAGCGCCAACATTATTTTTATTAAGCTAATTACAGTCCTAAGACATCCAGACAAGAGATACTCTCATTTTTTTGCCAATGACCCATTCTACTGCAGGTAAAATATTATCACTTGACCTATGTCAAGGTATTTATGAAATTATACCTCTATTTCCTTCACTATTTCCACATTTTCAATGATTCCACATTAAACCAATCATCTTAACTGAAACCTACATCTCAAGTGCTGTTCTCAAGTTTATGGCAGATTGCCTCAGCAGTTTTTATACCTTTGTATCTAGAGTAGCACTGTGAAAAATCATGTCATCAGCTCCCAGTCTAAACAGTTTTCTGGGAGTAAATGAAAACATCCAGTTCCAAAGAAAGACATAAAGATGGCTGAATAAAGAGTTATATTACTAAACTAAACACAAAATGAGAGAAAAAGACCCAAACTAAGTTTCTGTTATAGTGACATTCTGTTTCCTGATTTGAGCACTGTTTACACAGGTGTACTGGTTTTGCAGAAGTGACACAGTACACTTATGAATTGTGTTCTATGTTAATTTCAATAAAATATAGACAAAGGGGATCATTTTGGACCTCCACGTCTATATTTTTCCTTTCCCTCAGCATGCTGCTTAGTTTCCGACCGTGTATTTTACAAACCACAGAAAGAATGATGTGCCACCATGTGGAACAAAGATGAGAAAATTTAATTAACAACAAGCTATGAAATCCAAACCACAGTAAATCAAGAAATGACACTATAATGCTCTTTTTGTATCTGAATTAATCTTAAGCAGGGAACTGTTTATTACCTAGAGGAGTCAAGTGTAAGATTGGGTCACAGAAATAAGTAGAAGAATCTGTCTCTAAACGTATTTTAAAATAGAATTAAGGTATCATTGTTATATAAGTGTTATCACTAAAAAGGCAGAGGGAATGGTTTTAATAGGTTTCTTCTAGTATTATAATTGCACTTGATACATATAATTCATTTCTCCTTTTGGAACTATCAAACCTTTGAACCTATATTTGAAAACAGGAATAAATATAAGATGTTGTGTCAAGCTGGATACACAAAACATTGACTATGTATTTTTTTTATTCTAGATAATAGATATAACAGATTCTCTACATTTAAAATAAAACTTAAAGAGTATTTTTAAACTTTAACTTAATACAAGTTTGTTAGTCACAAGCTATAATACAATTCTTCATTCCAGAGTACAAAAAAAAATATTTTTCAAATCTTACTTTAGTAGATTCCACCTGTGACTTTCAAAGTAAGCCTGTAGCTCATAAAGAAGTGTCATTCTTATATTTGCATAAAATATCAAGATAAATACTCTCCATTCACAAATATGTCCTTATTCAGGAAAAACCTGAAATATTTGTCCCAAAGAGCCATGAAACCCTGTTACCAAACATACTTTTGTCCACAGTGACTGGGGGCAGGATACAATACTTCTCACACCCCCATCCTCAAAACCTTAAAAGTTTAAAATGACAAAGTGTACCATATACACTAGCACTGCAGGAAAAGCCACAAAATGATCTTGTGAAAGACACCTACACAAACCCATTAAAACACAATGCAACAATGGATCACCACAATGGCTCTAATGCTGTGATACTATAGAATATTGTTTAATATCCAGTTTACAAAGGTGCACCAACACAAATACACATCAAACAGACACTGTTAAAGAAAAATTATATACCTTTAATAGCAAACCTCAACTACAGTACTCAGAGAGTACTTTATTGTAGAGGCATGCTCGTATCAGAGCCCTTGTTATATTTTAACAGTTTTGGGTGAAAATCATTCCAAAATATGTCATATCTACTTTTCCCCTAAGATTTGTCAGTCCTTGCATTTTTCCAAAATGAGATTCCTAGGCCCCACCTTCAAATTCTGATTCAATAGGTCCAGTGAGGCCTAGGAATCTAGACTTACAAATGCTTGAAAACTGTCTCTAAGGGAATAAAATCAGAAAATATAAAAAGCTCCTGGTGATGCAGGGATCTTCATTATGACATCAATTTTACTATGCTGTAACATCGCGACCTCAGAGACCTTCAAGCTATGTGCCTCCATGTTATGGAGCTACATAATACTCAGGTTTTGAGTTCTTCAAACCCTCGTTTTCTACATCCTCATTTTTGGCTGTCCTTTCTCCCTCACGTGTGTGTCATCTCTTAGAAGACACTCTTGCCCCATTTCAATACACAGTCTTAAGAGACCAGAACTTTGTAACCCCTGGGTATAGAATGGCTCTACGTGAAGGCAGGAGAAGAGAGTGATTAAATGTACAATATGTACTTTGGTCCACAGTCTTTGTGATGGCCTCTGTGGTCTCTCAGAGACCTCTTTTGGTCAATGTCCTAATCCTATGCCATGCCCTACACTCTCTAGCACCCATTAGACATGCATACATATTTGCTGGATGATGAACGAACACGTGAGGTGTAGTCACATAATCGCTTACCACGCAGTCTTTGACTTGGGGGAAACCCGAATATCGTTGCTACTTACACTAACAAACTGAATGTCATCTTCATTTTCATCCGCTGTGCACTCAGATGTCTCAGGTCCAGCTGGAGGGACAGATTCTATTATCTACAAAAATAAGCCAAAACACGCTTATCTATACAGCCACACACTTGCAGGAAGAGCTTTTCCCAAAAGGAACGAAAAAGGAAGCACTTTCAAGGAAACCTAACGGCGTAATTCCACGCAAAACCGACGAAGAACAGAACTCGATGGAGTCGGATTATGCCTCTGCATACGTGGAGCTGCAGGGACCAGACAGCGAAAACCGGCCACGGGCCCCTCGCAATCCCCCATCTGCTCAGGAACGACGGGCCAGGCTCACCACTGAAGAGCCAGCCTGTCGGCCGAGCAGCGGCAACAAGGAGCGCCGGAGCCGGTGCAGGGGCCGGGCGGCCATTGTTGCAGCTGGTTCCTGGCTCGCCCTGCACCGCGCCGAACGCCGGGCTCGGCCCGAGACGCCGCGGGGATGGCCCCGCGCCTGCGGCCGAGCACCAGGCCTCACGCCAACAGAACACAAACCCCTCGGCGGCTCGCCTACTCACCTCCGACCCTGGGTCTCCCATGTCTCCGACGGCCTGACAGCACCGCTGCTGCGCTGTCCCCGCGGCCGCCGCTGTAGCTGCTGTCCCCGCCGCCGACACCGCCACCGCCACGACCTCCCTTCCCGCCCAGCTCCGCTTTGCGCCGCCGTGACCCGCCCCTGCGTGAGCGCCGACGCCGCAGACGCCGCCGACGCCGGCGGCGGAAAGAGGTGCAAAACCGCTTCAGAAGGAGCGGCCAAGTCTGGCCCGCTATCCTCCGGAGCCTAATTCCCACAGTCCCGATCTTCCTTCCCCGCACCGCGCAGGATGCTGGGAATTGTAGTTTTCTTATCACCCGAGGACACCCTAGCTTCGGTGGAAAAGATCGGAAAAGGACCCCAAGGCAGAGCGCATGCGTTTGGCCACGGTGACGTCACAGCAGATCCAGCGGGCGGTGGGTGGGTTCGTTTCTATTTACTACACCAGGGCGGGGACGGGATGTGAGAAGGTTTGAGTTGGCTTTGCGTGGTTATGGAAGTGAAGCTCAGTGAAAGACGGTGATGGGGACTAATTTATTAGTTTTTCTTTTTCTTGCGGAGGGCCAGGAATGGGGAGCTTTAGCCGAAGTCTTAGATCAGGAAAGAAATCTGTTGTGTTTTACATTACTCATCTGCTCCCCAGCTTCAGTTTCCCAGACACGGTGTGTAATTAATACAACCTGGGAAGAAAATTGAGGACTCGATCTCCAGTCTCCAGGTTAGCTTGAAGAAAACTGGCAAAGCTAGAGAGCCCAGGGCCCAGTAGGACAGGAAGCCGAGGCCTCGCTAACTTGATCACACCCATGATATTAAATTGTATTTTTAAAAGATGTTCTCAATATTACCTTTGTAAAATAGTGGACCTTTTTACATTGTTCACACTCAAAAAGCAGTATATAAAATAGTTCACTCATGTTCAACTGTGTTTTTAATTTTTCTCACATACCGCCTTGCAAAAAAAAAAAACACCTTTTTTTTACACACCAACAATTGCTGAAGGTTTGAAAAGAATTCAAGTTGGAAAATTCCATTAAATCTTATTTTCCTGTTTTTGTCTGTGTATATAGAATCCTACCATCAAACCAAACTTACCTACGCTTGTAGTAATTATTGCTTAATATTTCTATTTTCTGCATTTCCTCCAAGTGCTTTATGACATCAGTTGCTTCTCTACCTAGTCAGTCTGAGAAATTTAGAGGCAAACTGAGAATGAGAAACCAGCCAGTTGTGTTCCTCGAAAGCTGTATGTAAATACCCAAAACTTTTAAATGTCTACACAAAACTTGTGTTCAAATTTCTCCTAATGTGCTGGTGAAAGGTCAGTGGAACATTTACTTTACGAGTTGCAGGTAGGAGTCATACAACTCTTGGAAAGCAAGCATTATGTAGCTAGAGCCCAATAATAATGGTAACCTTCAATTCAGCTGTTGCTATTGCAAGGATTTATCCTGAGGGCATAATTTAATCTGTTTGAAAAGTTTTATGCAAAATATTTATCACAGGTTTGTATGTAATAGCAAAAATTGTAAAACATCTAAATGTCTGATTGGGGAATGGAATGGTTCAACTTTGGCATGTACTCTACTAACATAACAGTATAGTGTTTTTACTACCATTGAAAATGCTTAGCAAAAATTTCTAAAAACATATTTCTCAAAATGCAAGATATATATATTATCAGAACCATGTCAAACTACCAAGCAAACCATTCCTGAAATGGGAGACCTACTTAAATATTAATAATTTTCTCTCGGTAGCTGGACTATGAGTTCCTAAGAAAATTCTTTGAAACCCACTAACAGATTTATCAGACATCCCTGTAGTTCCCAGAAAGCCAGGTTTATCTAGATTGGTGTAACAAAGGAGAGCAAACCATAGGCTTGGGAGTCACTCAATTCTAGGGAATTTAGAAGAGATTGGGTTGGATGATTTTAAGGCCAGTCTGTGAAGTAGGGAACTAGTTAGAATTGGAAGCAGATTGGTGCAGGAATCAAAATGGAGACTTAACTATGAGGAAATGTTCTTTGTGTGACTGAGGAAATGTTTTGTTTTGTTTTTTTAACCTGGAATGCAGATTCATATTTTGCTTTATGAGTTAAGATCTTGAAGGGAGCCCATCATTGAATTTGATAACCACTAATTTCATTCTCTGAGATTTGTCCTAAGCAACATTTTAATAGATTTCCATATCTACATCAGTGGCATTATGTTGATATTCTTCCTTCAACTCATTATGTAACAAAGAAGTAACAGTTTCAGCTTTAGTTTTGTTTTCACAAGTTTCCTGCTAACTTTCTTGCTGTTCTTGGATGATTATTTATAGAACCTTCTGTCTGAACATTGACTACACAGCAGCATTTAAGGTTCTGGAAACCTAGTTCTCCCTAAGAGAGTGCCACCAAGAGGCAATTTAAATGCATCCATAAGGCTCAAACCCTCATTGAGAATCATACAATATTCACAAATCTCAAAAAGGTGGGGAGAGTATGGCTAGCATAAGGCTATAACTTATTTAAGGATCATTCAACTTGGGCAAGAGTTTCTGTATACGCAGCACTAAACCTGATATTTTGGTAAAAGCACAAATACTTCCAATGTAATTGTATTATTAAGAACCATATTTGGGTTGGATTATATGCTCTGGCAACTGAAATGATCTCTAACAATTTCTGATAAAGAAATAAATTTAGCCCTGGCCAGTTAGGCTCAGAGGTTAGAGTGTCAGCCCATGGACTGAAGGGTAGTGGGTTCGATTCCTAGTCAACGGCACATAGCTGGGTTGCAGGTTCAAACCCCAGTCCCGTTCAGGGTCCTGTGGGAGGCAACCAATCAATGTGTCTCTCTCACATTGATGTTTCTTTCTCTCCCTCCCTCCCTTCCATTCTATCTAAAAAGTCAATGGAAAGCCCTGACTGGTTTGGCTCGATGGTTAGAGCGTTGGCCTGCAGTCCGGAGAGACCCGGGTTCGGTTCCCGCTAAGGGCATGTACCTCGGTTGCAGTTTGTCCCCAGCCCTGGTTGGGTCGTGTGGGTGGCAGCCACTCAATGTCTCCCTTTCACGTGGATGTTTCTCTCTCTCTCTTCCTCTCTCGCCCTCCTACTCTATCTGAACAAAAAATGGAAAAAATGTCCTCGGGTGAGGATTAAAAATAAATAAATAAATAAATAAATAAATGTCAATGGAAAAATATTCTCGGGTGAGGATTAACAAAAATAAAAATAAAGAAATAGATTTATAGGTATTTATTCCAAAAACAGAACATTCTTCTGGAAAGATGGTTTTTCTGGAATCAGTTGTCATCAGCATTTCCTGGGAGTCATGGGATCAGAACAAAGATCATCTGGTTCTGCAAGAGTATAAAAAACTAGCCCAGAGGACTGTAGTGCAATTTCTTTGTTCCTCTCAGGTCTGGAATTCTGTACAAGTGTTGTACATATGGAAAATAAACAAGCCACTTTTCTCATTACAGCAAGCTATATTACTTCTTTAGAATATAGACCTTCTCCCTTCAAGCAATACTGTATTTGCCCTTATGAATAAACTGAAAACAGTAGTTTTGGGTGCCATTATTACATATTTTTAGTAATTTGAAAAATTTCCTACCCTTTTTCTAGAAATACTTGGAGGATCATCATTCATTGTATTTGCATTATAGCAAACTCCATGTAAGGCTACTGAACAAGAATTCTGATGGTTCAACTTGTAGCAGGTTACAAAGGTTTTGAAAACACCGTGGACAACCAACAGTATTAGAACAGGTTTATATTTATTAAAGGAATAGTCGGTTGTACAGTGTTAAGTGTAGGCATAACTGTAACAATACTGCTGCCAGGTCATAATTGTTAAGATTTATTTAACCTCTTTTATGATAGAGGTTAGAAGAGTTGTAAAAATCTATTTATATAAAGAGTGGCTGTGGAGGAATTTAAGGCAGGCATAACTAATATTTGTTTCTTCCCACAAGTAGGAGAGTGAAAAATCCTAAGTGATAGACATCTCTATATGATTTCACACTTATTGGAAAATTGCCATAACATGTTTTATCATATTCCCTGTCTTATATATACACAAAAAACATATGTATACAATTTTTTTTTTCTGAATCATTGGAGAGTAATGTGCAAATATCATGCCTCCTTATTCCTTAACATTCAATGTGTATTTCCCAAGAACCAGGAATTTCTTTGACATAACCATAGTACTTGTTTAGTCTGCTATAACAATTTACCATAGACATGGTGGCTTAAACAAATTATTTCTGACAGTCCGGAGGCTGGAAAGTCCAGGATTCAGGTGCCAACAGATCATTGGTGAGGGCACTCTTCCTGGTTTGCAAACAGTCATCTTGTATCTTTACATGGTGTACAGAAGAGACAGAAGCAAGTTATTTTGTGTCCTTCTTATAAAAATATTAATATCATCATGAGGGCTCCACCCTCATAACCTAATTACCTCCCACAGGCTCCATCTCCAAACACAATCCCAATGAGGATTAGGATTTCAACATATGTATGGAGGGGAGACACACACACAGTTCATAACAGCACTATTATCAAACTCTGGAAATGTAACATTGATTTAATACTGTTTTCTAATCTACAGTCCTTATCATATTTTATCAATTGTCCAGTCAAGGATCACATAATGCATTGAGTTGTATGTCTCCCTATTTTCCTTTAATTTGGAGCAATTTTTAAGCCTTTATCTTTCATGATATTGATGTTTTTGAAACACCAAGGCCAATTATTTTATATAATGTTCCTCAATTTTGGTTTGTCAGAGTTTTTCTCATTAGATTCAAATATGCATTACCAGACAAAGTATTAAACGTGACGCTGAGTGTTTGAGATCACCACATCTAAAGGCACATGATGGCTATCTGCCCCTCAATGAGGAAATTAAAATGTTTTTATTTTATTTTTCAATTACAGTTTACACTCAATATTATTTATATTAATTTCAGGTGTATAGCATTGTGGTTAGATAATCATAACTTTAGAAAGTGTTCTCCTCTATATTTCTAGTACTCACCAGGCAACCATACAGTTATTACAATATTGTTAACTACATTCCTTAT